TGCACTTTAAACAGGGATGTGGCTCTGATACCACTTCTAACCCAGGGTAGAGTATGATTGCATGTAATTGGTTGAGACTTGCAATATTCAGAAATTATAAGGACTTACAATGAAAGTTTTGAGTTGCACACGGAAGTCTTGCTCTTGAATCCTTTATTCAAACTTTGACAAAGTTGTACAATGACTTTGAAAACTTAATATGAGTAGTTGAGAGTAGGTAGGAAAGATTGAAAGTAATACAAGATGTTTTTCTCTAAGATTGCTAATGGGGAATTTTCGCCGATGCCTTTCATATGGTGTTTGAATCTATTTATAGAGGCTCGGGTCTTCATTTCATTCTTCATTTCATCTTCATTTGAATTGCATTTACTTTTGTTGAGACGTGGCCGACAGTTTTGAATGATTACTTTTCTTTCTGAAATTGCCAGCACCTTTGAGTGACTTAAAAGTCATTTGGGTCTTGTCCGCATGGTCCCCCAAACGGATCAAAAGTTGATTCAGATGAGCCTGCTGACTCCTCTATTTTGTCGCTTTTGTCATCCTTATCCTGCTTTTGTAAATAGTCCAAGTATTCTTTAAGCATTTCGGGATTCTGCATCATCTTTTTCATCAGAAAGTCATTTGAAAATGCCTCGGATGCCATACTGGTCACTTTCTCTTTATCTTTTTTCTTTGGAGTGGTTGGATTAGGTAGAATAGTAGTTGGATTGGGTGGCATTGTCGTTGGAGTGGGCGACAAAGTTGTTGAAGTAGTGGTTGAATCTTTTGTCCATTTGAGCTTGTCTCCAGTTGTTAGAAATCTTATCACATTTGCTTGATCTCCAAATTCCTGATTGAATCCTTAGTTGAATGTACAAATATCACAAAATTGTCTTTGATTAAGGAGCATGTTAATTGTTAGGACAAGAGCATCTTTGTAGCTTCTGCTAAATTTATGAGTGGAACATCATGCGAAGGCTAGGTGGTAAGTGGATTCAGGGCTTCATAAGTTCTATTTCACTCCATTTGAGAGTAAAATTGTCATTCCAAAATTTTGTTTTGTATCATATTACAACTTATTTACACATTATTTATAAGTTATTTATACCCTATTTCAACTTATTTACATCAAGACAAATTTGTGTGAAATGAAACTTGTGACACCCCATCCCCCTTGTGGGGGCATTGGTGTTCTGCTAGCTAGAGCATCAAACTTGGAGAGGCATCTGCATAACATGATAGACAAATAATTGGACAAATATAGTTTATGTAAATCACGTGATTCAAATTTTATTACACCATTTCATCATCTCACCAATTCAAAAATTTAAAATATAACAAAATTTGGACCACACACGATCTGCAAAACAAAGTATATCCAAGTTTTTTGTCAACATTGAAGGAGGGAATACAAGAAGACAAAGTAGACCATTCTCTTTTGAAGAAGGGGATCGAGTTTTGCCTCAAAGATTTGGTAAATTGGCACTATTGACACTCTAAAATAAGTTTGAGGCACCCCACCATTTTTCTTCTATTGGTCAAAAAGATTGCAATGGCCACACGTGCCGCCACATTTGACAATGGAGACGCCTGGAAAGTCAGAATGACAATTTTTTTTTTATGGGAACAAAGAAAAACGCGTCTTTTTTTGGGGTATAAGTCACCTTTGTTCGTTATGGAATTAGAAAACCTGAAAATCACTTTGACTCAACAGCCACAATTTGGGAATATTTGGTGCTATTATTCTTTTCGTATGTCAAAATGATGTGAACAGAGATCTTATGCCAACATTCCAGGACATTGAAGGATTCAAGTGTGTCTTCCAAATTCCAGCATAAAGTTCAAAATATTTTAACCTTGGATGCAAAATTAAATGCAGATGCGATCAGAAAAATTAAAACAACAGAAATTAAATAAGAATAAATACCACTCCATTCAACAGATTTACTTAATAAACGGATTAAATAACTTCAAGTGTATTCAATAGATTTACTTCTTGTTTGTGGTTCCCTTTCCGTTTCCAATGGATTACTCAATCCTTTCGCTGTTTTGAATTTGTTATTTGGGAACTCGCTAATACATTTAATTTACACCAAATTTATCAATGGATTCTCACATTCACATTTTTTTACACCTCCTGTATTTAGACATTTTTTTTAAAATTAATAATACTCTTCTCACTGAGCATCATTAGCCAAACTTTTATTATCTTAGTATATTTATAATCGGTGCCCACTATTCATTCATTATTACTAAACCAATTTATACTAAACCAATTTATTCATTCATTATTACACCAATTCATTATTATTACTATTCATTTACTATTTCAAAGCAAAAACTTGCATTTACTAATTCTTGGATGAGGACACTTTTCCGATTCAATTTGCTTTACTAATAAACTAACGTGTGGTATCCAATTTTAAGTAGTGTCACACTCCTTAACAAATCATTTTTTGTCATGTTATTATGCATTACTCCCTCCGTCCCATTTTATTGGAATAGAAAAGAGATTTTGTCTAAAACAATCTACTTTGCAAAAGAACATTTTTTTGCTGCCATTATTTCTCTCTAGTATTATTATTGATTGTTATATCAAAAGTTCCTTTCGTTTTTTTTTTTTTTGTTATTTGCAATTTTATGCATGGTGTTCTCCTTACTTTGTACATTTTAAAAAGTTTGCAAAAATTCAAATTCTTTGACACATGAGTAAGCATTTCAAGATACATAATGACCATAGTTTATCTAACTATAAAACTTCCACTGGAAAGCAAAAAAAAAATTTTAAAAATAATTCTCTTGCAATTTTTAACGCATCAAAAGAGAATGCAACCCTTTAAAAAGAGAGAGAGAGAGAGAATATGGCTAGATCATTATTAGTACCAAAATTAATTATTATATCTTTACATGAATTACAACAACAATATTGATTTTGCACCATTCAAGCCATAAATTAAAGTAATTATTAGCTTAGACAGCTTGTATTCACTGATAATAAAGTACATTAACTAAGACTATTTTAAAAAAATTAAAAATTAATTATATTCTTTGATCGGAAAGTAAATTATAATTTGAGACAGATGAAAAAAATAAACTATCAATAAAGTACATTAACTAAGACTATTTTAAAAAAATTAAAAATTAATTATATTCTTTGATCGGAAAGTAAATTATAATTTGAGACAGATGAAAAAAATAAAACTATCAATATAGAACGAAGAGAGTACTATTAGTTATGCAATTTTGGTTAACTCATCCTGAATTTTAGATGGTTGGCCGGTTTAATCCCTGAATATCTGGCAGTAATTTATTACTGGGCCAGAAATGACGTCGGAATGTTGCATAGTTGGCTTTGAGAGGTCATAATAGTTGCCGTTATTGACTTGCCTCTGGCGGACAGGAAGATGGGGCAGCCAGGCAGCGTAGTTAATAAAAACCACCCATAAAAAGTCATTATTGATAGCTTTGATTTACTCGGTTTGAGATCATAAGCTTAACATTAGTTAGCTTACCATTTATCGCTGACATGGAATCAATTGACCGAATAATTTGTTACTCCTTCCCCGTGTTAAAAATATCATACTTTCTATTTTAAAATATTTGTCACGGTAAAAAAAATTAAAATATTTTTTAGTCTTTTATTTCAATACAATCCTTCCCTTTAATCATATGTATGTCGCAATTTAAATTTAAAATTTGAATTAGTGGAGGTAAGAGTGAAAAGAAAAACACAAATATTACAATCAAATTACTATTATTAAAAAATTGAATTTCTAAAATATGATAAAAATAATTTATTACGTATAGAATGTAGCCATACATCCTTGTAAGCGTGTAAGGTAGATCCCTCATTTGGTACCCATAAGACGTGATAAAATATGATATGGTTAAAATACGCCATGTAGCAATGCCATGTGGTATATTAAATCAGTCATGTCTCATTAAATAACTAAATCAAATATTGTCAAGTATGTATTAGACATGAACAATCCACTTTACTTGGTGGGATAAAATTCAGCGGTGGATCTACTCTGACCAAAGAAAAATTTCATTTCTATGCACAAAATTTTTAACAATTTTTTTTATCTTATTAATTTATAAATATGCTCCAAACACACAATACTGAAAGCAGAGTCCATCACTTTAATAGTGACTAAATGTAGAGTTGTCAATAGTAAATGGAATTTAGTCTATTGGTATTTTTTCTATACACAAAAAAATTTGTCTTCTAATTTAGTAGCTTCCTTACATCCTAGTGTCTTCTTTGTTTTTCCTTTTATTAATAATGTGTACCGCTATACGTAAATCTTATACACACTAATAAATAAATAAATAAATAAATATATATATATATATACTATCACCATTTAATCCATGATATATGTGTAAAAGTTGAAATTTAAATTTAAATTTTACATAAATATCATTTATCCAACGCTGACAGTATATACATTATTGGTGTAGGAAAGATTAATCCATTTCAAATTACTAATTTTGCCTATAAATGATTGTCCAAGACTATTTACAAAAAACTGTGTTTTGATTGTGCCCCTACTGAAAATTTCTCCTAGCTCTGTCATTGATATTGGTAAACCACATGGTACTGTCACATGGCATACCATGATTAATACCTTCTCGACACTAGACCTGGAAAAAGGCTGGTGGCCACAAAAAAAAGCCACATTTACGTGATTTGTTTCAAAAAAATCCAGATAGGTGTGTTGTGCACTCGTTTGATTCGATTGTGGTTTAATTCCCTCCGGTTATCCCTCGGCCTTCTTAGATCTGCCTCTTCCCCTTTAGTGTAGGATAGATTAGGTTATACATCTATCGTTTTTGAAAAAAAAAAAAAAAAAAAGACACTAGGCCTGGAAGGATATAGTAGTTGATTTTGGGTGATGGTTTGAACTTTGATGGCATAGATAGGGCTTAAACATAAATTGACACCGGCTAATACACAAATAAATTAATATGCCGATTCGTTGGCAAATATGTCAGGTAGTACGTAGACTATTTTTTTATGACCTTCACAGTTCACGCAATCTTAATATTCTTTTGATTTGGTAGGCTCCAATTCCAACTCCGTTTTTGTTGCTATCACTTTTGTTCTGCATACAGATCAATCACTAATCTGCTAGGTGATCAGATGGGGCAGACTGCTTCTTCTAGCTCAGCATATGGTTCTGATCGCTATGTGTCTGCCTGTCTTGAGGTGTTTGCAAGACTACAAAATCTGGAGGAACAATTTAAGAACAAGAAATTCAATCTTGCCTTCCTTCTAGAGCAACCCAATGGTGATATGTTCAGCAGTGTCAAGGATCAAATGAAGACCTTTGCAGACGAGTATCATTTCTTGACCATGTTTATCAAATGCTTCTGCAAGTTCAGCTATGAAGGCAGGAAGGAAATGGAATCCCAATTTGCCAAAGTTGCAGCTGAGTATCAAGAGATTGGAAATGAGATAGTCTCTGTTCGTGGATTTGTTAAGGTTTCGAAACTGGCTGATGTGTTTCCCAACTTGTTGGAAAAGATTCAGGTTTTGAAGCCAGAGATCGCGGAAATCTGTGATTACCTGTGGAGACACTCAGTTGAACCGGAATCTAGCTCAGATTCTTATGATCTGCCATTCAATGAGTTACTATATAGTCTGCAGATACTCTTGACGAAAGCTGACCTGATTGATCCTCCCAAGGGACAAATCAAATCCCTCTCAAACAAGCTAAGCAACCTTGTTGACTTTCTCAAAAATTGGAAATTGGATGATTTCGAGCTGAAATATCTTCTTATTTGTGCTAGAGTTACATCTTTCCAAGGATTGAATCTCTGTTGTTTGTGCTGGCTCAAGAAAACGGATCCAAACGTGACAGGAGAAATTGGAATTGCTTTTTCAAATTTGAAACAGAAGATTGATCCGGCTAATCCGGAGTTCTTGAAAATGATGATCAATATCCTGGACTATAAGCTCGACAAAGTGAACGTGAGAACATTCATTTATCATCTTATTCAGTTAAACTTTGATGTATATTTACTTCCCGAGAAGCTGAGATTCCTGATATTAGCCTTTTTCAAGCTAAGAATGGATCCTGTACATTCACCATTTTTCAAGCTAAGAAAGGATCCTGTATATTCACCATTGGTCTTGCCAGATATTGCTGCAGTTCTTGGGGAAATTGAATCTCTGGTGGAATCACGGAGTAAAGGAAGCGGAACTGACTTTCTGGCTTTCAAGATTGCTGCAAGGATTTGTCTTCTTCGTGAAGATATTTTCTTCATCCAACAACTTCTCACCAGCAGGTCTGAGTTCCATGAGATCGACTCTTCTGCTAGGTCATACTTTCTCAATGACACCAGACGTCGAGTGGAAGACATTCATCAGACTTTGGGATTGCTAAGAAAAGGTCTTGAAGGTCTACCAGAAGGAGACATGGAAAATGGAAAGGAAACTGTCGAGTTCATCGAAGAAGAGGCTAAGGAGCTGGAATCACTCAAAACATCCTTAGAAGCCAGGAAGATATCACCGGTTGCAGCAGGGAAAGTGATACTCAAGCTGCTCGTGAGGAGCTTGGTTTTCAGGGCAGATGCATATTTAATGGATTTAATGTCCAGTAATGCAAATTTGATTCTCCCTGCAAAGGATCAGATTGGAACTCTCAAGTCCCTGATTGCATCAATCAGAAATGTGCCAAACAAACTCATTTTCTCGAATATTGCTGGCAAAGTCACGGAGGATGAAAGTCTAATTATGATACATATTCAAGAAGTGGCTAGGGAGGTGATACATTTCTATCATTCTTTTCATGCGGCCAACGTCACAGAAGACCTGGAGAAGGAACTGAGCACTTGGCTTTCTGGATTAATAAAAAAAACTATGGGAGCGGTTAATGGCATTGATATCCCATTACCAAAAATGATTTTTCCCGAAACAAATGGACTGGGATTCATTAACTTGTTCTTGAGAAAGCTGACAGAGTTGCTTAGAAATAGGTGTGATTCACTTGTATCTGTTGAGAGACAAATTGAAGAGATTCAAGAGAATCTTGGATTCCTGAGATCTTTCTTGGGAATGCAGGACATTAGGGATCAAGAATGGAACGATATTGGTAGACGTACAGTGGATGCAGCTTACAGGGCGGAATTCGTCATTGACTCTATTGTGGTGGGAAATGGTGCTGAGCTAAAACATTTTATCAGGCTTCATCTTGTCTCAGAAGACATTAGACTTGTGAAGATGCAGGTTGAGGAGAAGGCCATTGGTGTTGGAGTCCAGAATGCTATTGAGGGTATAACGCGTGAGATTCCACAGACTAGTACAATTGGAGCTGATGAAGACGTGTTGGTTCTCAAGGATCAGCAACAAGTGATTGTTAATCGACTTACAAGGGGATCATCGCAGAGAGATATCGTCTCGATTGCTGGAATGGCAGGAATTGGTAAGACTACTTTAGCTAATAAAGTGTACAATGATCCTGAAATTGTGTCTTACTTCCATGTTCGGGCATGTTGTTGTGTTTCGCAAGTTTACACAAAAAGAGACCTGTTGCTTGAGATTTTAGGACACATTATTGAGCTTACTGATAACATCCTTGTAAAGCCCGTTGAAGATTTGGAATTGCTGTTGTCACAAAAGCTGAGGAGAAATCGTTATCTTGTCTTTATGGATGACATTTGGGGTATTGAAGCATGGAATCAGTTGCAGAACTCATTTCCAGATGACAGAAATGGAAGCAGAGTTCTGATAACAAGCCGCCTCCAGGTTGTTGTTTCAAAGGTCACAGATGAAAGCCATCTTTTGAATCTTCGTCCACTGTCAGATGATGAGAGTTGGGAATTACTGAGAAGGAAGACATTTTTCAAAGAAGGCTGTCCTGAGGCCTTGTTGGAAATCGGGAAGGAAATTGCTAGAAAATGTAAAGGATTACCGCTTTCTGTTGTTGTGGCAGCTGGTTTCCTTAAAGCAAAAAACATGACACCCAAATTCTGGAAAGAAATTTCAGACAGTATCAACTCGCTCAAAGATAATGATCCACAGAAACGGTGCATGGACATATTGGAACTTAGTTACAATCATCTGCCAGACTACTTGAAATCCTGCTTCCTTTACTGTGGAGCATTTGAAGGAGACAAGGAGATCCCAGTTTGGAAATTAATATGGCAGTGGATGGCCGAAGGGTTTGTACAGGAAAGTGATCTGAAGAGTCTGGAGGATCTTGCTGATGATTACTTGAAAGATCTGATTGGTAGGAGCTTATTGATGGTTGCAAGAAGAAGATCAAATGGCAGAGTCAAAGCATGTCGAATTCATGACACGGTACGCACTTTGTGCGTGTTGAAAGCTAAGAAAGAAAACTTTTTGTCCTTGATAACCACGGATGATGAACCTTATGCTTCTTTTGACGATATTAGTGATTTTGATGATTTCGATCGTTCAAATTCCGTGACATATGAGGAATATCGACTAAGCTTTTCTGTTAGTCGAAAGCTCTTTCTCACGTCAAATCCTTCAGGCCCAAATGTCCGTTCCCTACTGTTTTTTGCCACCACAGATATGGATCCAAGATGTCTTTATGATGCATCATTCATTTTCAACAACTTTAAACTTCTTAAGGTGTTGGATTTGGGTTGCGTGAATATGGGCAGTTCATTTGCAGCAGGAATAATGTTGCTTCTTCAGTTGAGGTACATAGCAGTTGCCGGTTATATGGACTCCATTCCATCATCATTAGCCAAATTACAGTATCTGGAAACGTTTATTGTGAAGGGATGGAAAGGTAAGGTATTTCTTCCGATTACCTTCTGGAGCATGACAAGGTTAAGGCATGTTCATGTAGATGATCATGCTGTCTTCACCTTGCCAAATGAAAAGGTTGGTGGTTCCTCTCAATTAATCAATCTGGTGTCACTTTCCACACCCTCCCTTTCTTTTGGGGATACAGAGGAAATCATTGGGAGGTTGCCTAACCTTAAAAAGTTGAGTTGCATCTTTCCAAAATTGAGGAATCACTCCACAAGCAGCTATGAGTTTCCAAGATTGGGAGACTTAACTCTGCTGGAGTCACTCAAGATACTTTACCGTGGCAAGACTCTTGATACAGGGGAATTTCACTTTCCCGTGAATCTTAAGAAGCTCTCTCTATCAAATTTTTATTTGCGATGGGATCACATTTCAACGATTGGAGCACTGGAAAATCTTGAGGCTCTCAAGTTAGTTTCAATAACTTTTGAGGATACTACATGGGAAATGGGGGATGACGAGTTCTCAGAACTCAAATTCTTGAAATTAGACGCTGTTAACATTGTTGAATGGAATGCCTCCTGCGATCACTTGCCTAAGCTTCAGCAGTTGGTGCTACGGAAATGCGAGAAGCTCAAGGGAGTTCCCGTTGATTTCGTGGATATACCTACCTTGCAGATGATTGAAGTGCAGCTTTGTTGTGAAGCAGTTGAAAAATCAGTTGTGATACTTAAGGAGGAGGAAAAGCTTCGATTTGGAACTGAGGATCTGAAGGTCCTCATCAGTCACTAAATAATGATTCCAGGTATTTCTTTATTTAACCAGAGAACTTCATTTTTTTTTATCATATTTTTGCAGATTTACTTCCAGCAACTTGTTAAGGATTTTGGCTTCTACCATCTAGTTTCATTTACTGAATGCTTCTTCAATCTTCAGAAACTTCTGGTTGCAAGTCACTGTGTGGTATTTTTGGCGTTAAAACAGCCATTTAGTGGTAGATTTTTGCTCTAGTACAATTTTCACAGATACACAGTTTTCTCCTTGATCCTTCAATTGCTACACTCCCTAGACTTGCCTGCAAGAGTGTCCTCGTGTCATTGCCCCATTCATTTTAGTTCTGTAGTGATCTATGGTTCTTATTAGTTGTTGCCAAATTCATTGATTGATAATTTTGGCAGAAACTAGCTCTATTCTGCAAGGGCCTGAAGGAAAACTGACATGAGCATGACAAATTCAAATTCAATGGGAAGAAACAGAGGTATACAGAGATGGTAGGATGTGCTAATATTGAAGAGTGCCGTATTTTTGGAAAAGTTCTCTTCGGCAGGTTTGATGAGTTGTCAAAATCCAATAATCATCATCAACTGTACAAATAACCATTCTAAACGAAATAAAGTTCTTTTGAGAGTTGGTTAACCAAAATTTAAGATGCAACCCTTTGCAAGCAATAATCCCAAATATATATGACCAAATTAGGCCCTGATTTGCTGCAGAAAATCAGCCTTCGTCCATTTTGAACATTTTGAAACCAACATATAGATTGTTCAAACGTGTCCTCGCGTAAGCGCATATGCTAGAGAGACAAACTTCATCTCATGCTAAATGGCATTTGTCCCTTGTTTGCACACAAAATAGTGGACTAATACGGTGAATACAATTTACAATCAGATGAGAGATGTATTAGACTTGTCAGAACAGTAGCCACAAAGTGATGGACATCTCTTTTGCTTCACATTCTTTGGCTACATGTACTTTGATATGATGCTAAAAGCTGGAAGGTGATGATCAACTTTGAAGCCAAACGACTCAACTTTGAAGTATCTTGCATTTTCACAGCATCAATTTTCTTTTTTTTGGCCCTCCTGCTTTTCTTGTGGGAAGATCAGGAAGTTTTTTGATTGCGCATTTCAGCCTTTTAGGCCTAATTAGTGTGCCAATATTTGTAGTTGATGAAGCCCAGAAGGTGATGATCAGCAGAGAAACAAGAGTCTTAGAAAATCCTGGAACAGAATGGGTAGACAATATTACCTCAGGTTCTGGTAAGAGCCATAGCAATTTTTCTCTATTGTGGATATTGTAGGGTTCAGCTTTCTCTTGTACTAAAGTGAAAAATTGATGTTCCAATACTTATGTGAGACTAAATCGAAATCGCATTTCTGTAAATATTCATGTTTCATCGTAGTTTGAAAAAAAAAAAAAAAACATAGACATGCTTCTGCATTTTACTTTGTCCGTTTTCAACGTTATAGTTTGATAAGCTTCCAGTTGAGCAAATCCCTCAAAAAGTCCTTCAACTTTTTTACTAATTCCTCCATCTTAAAAATAAGACATAATGGGTCTTTGAACAAAATTTTTTGGGTTAAATTGGTCCCTATGTGGCAGAACAGTCAAGAAAATTCAAATCTCACCACTACTTTGGTCTAATTTTTACTTGGCTACTCCACCATATAGGGACTAACTTGGCTCAAAAAAAAATTTTGTTGAAGGATCATTCTGTCCTACTTTTAAAATAGAGGACCAAACATGAATTCGTGAAGTATTTGGGGAATTTGCGCCTTCCAATTAAAACAAATAGCCGACTCATATTATTAATTGGGCATGTTGATAGATTATCAAGTTGCTGCTGCATACAACAACTATTTCAAGGCCAAACTTAGCATGCAAAAGAATCCAAATTAACTGTATCTGAAGACAATCACATGAATCCAGAAGCTTGCATAAATTTCAAGCCTTGAAGCTAGTTTCTTGATAGTGAATTCACATGTGAAAACTTTTCAATGGAATAAGAAAATGTCTCATTTTGTAACATGGCAGTCATAAGTCATAATGCTACATTGCAAGAGCAAGTTGTCAACAAGATCCTTAATTAGGATACCGGGTAAATAACTACATACTTCCCGTGGTTTCATCTATTATCACATGATTTCTTTAACCTTTCAAAATATTCACATAATCTCCACTATAATTTTATATAAAGCCAAAATTTGACACAAAGGAGTCTTTGTAGAGTCGTTATTTGAAATGCTAGTATTGCCCTTATTCAAATAACAAACAAAAATTTTTTGGCTGAGGGGTGGGGGGGAAGGGACGGGGAGGAACAGCTCTTCATAAAATTATAGGGGAATTTTGTTGATACACATGAAACAACAGGGAGATTAAGTAAATATTATAATTTCATCATACACGTTCTTAGAGCGTGTTTAGGTCATTCATTATGACTGGAGTTACATTCTACTCATTTTTCATTTTATATAAAACTATAAGGATTTATATGGTCATGTGATAATATATGAAATCAGAAAGAGAGAGAGCCGAAGGCTTTTCTGCAAAAAGCACATTCTTATAGACAAGTTCTTCTACAAATGCCTATAGAAGTTTTCCTCAATGACATTTCAAATAGTTTAGTTTCCAATTTCTATTGGCATTTGAAATGAAATATGATGTAGTCATTATCATGCTAAAATCATTATAATTTGTTGATCGTTTAATTTCAACTGTTTTATTTGGAATCTTAGCTACGCATTTGGAAGCCAATCAAAATAACATAAAAGGGGAGTTGAACATTTCTCAAGAATATTGTTAGATTGAATATGACAAATACCTTGCTTTCCACTTTAAGTGGTCAAAATTTTATCTTTGCATTTCTTAGCAGGAGAATATGTGTTCTCATATGCTTGACCCATTTCCTTGGTTATGCTCAATATGCTTTTCGTTGCAAGTAGGCAAACATTTCTTTTTTTTTTAATCACAATTACTTTATGTTACTTTGCAAGTATCAAAGTGTCAATTTCAAGAATGATCTTTTTCGAAATTGGTATCATTTTTGGATTGGCTATATTATGTAAATTGTATCCTTTATTGCCCTAAAATTTTTTTTTTTTTTCCGAGACATGTAAGTGGAAAGAGATAAAAAGAAGGCGTAAAAGTCAAATCAGGGACCTTATGTTTACCTGATTATGGTTTCTACCAATTAAGATAGCATATTATTTTTTCTATCTAGTAGTTTTACTTAGAATCATGGCTAACCTATTCTTTCTGGAGCAAATTAAGAAAACATTAGAAGGGAACTGAACACTATCTGAAGATTGTTAAATTTCACATGACAAATACCTTCCTTTCCAACTTAAACTATCTAAAGAAATCCAAAAATTTCTCTATGCCTTTCTTAGTCCAACAGAATGGTTATTCTTTACCTATTTCTTAGATTAGACTCTATATGCTTTTTCTTCCAGGTAGACTGACATTTCATTTTTTCACGACAACTACTTTTGGTACATGCTACAAAAGGCCAAACAAAACTCATCGTCTACAAAAGGAAAAAAAACATATGTTCCCAAATTCATATCATTCTTTTTTTTTTCCAAACGAAATTCATATCATTCTTGAATAGCTATTCTTTCAAATTCATATCATTCTAGAATTTGCTAGCTCATATAAAACGCATCCTCTATACTACAAAAGAAAAAAAAAAGAAGAGAAAATAGCACAGTTTCTGAAATTTGCAACTCAAAGTCTTCTTGACAAGAAAACCGACTCTTGAGAAATTTGATTGAGCATTATGGCAGAGAGTGTTGTAGGCTTCTTGATTAACCAGCTCTCAACCTTACTTGCCCAAGAGACCACACTTTTGGGGCGGCTTAAACCAGATGTTCAATTTATCAAAGATGAACTCAGCAGTATGAAAGCTTTCCTCAGAGAAGCTGAAGCAAAGGAAGACAATGATTCTCAACTCCAAGAATGGGTAAAGCAGGTTCGAGAAGTTGCTTATGATACAGAGGACGTTCTCGATGATTTTACCTTCCGCTTTGATCATGGTTGTGCGGACGGATTCTGAGGCCAGGTTGAAAAGATCTATAACTCAATAAAGAATCTGAAAGCTAGCCATCGAATTTCTTTGGAGATTAAAGACATCAAGGCCAGAGTTGGAGAGATTTCAGCAAGGCATCAGAGGTACCAGTCCCTATATGGTACTCAAGAAAGAAGCTTCAGCACTTCTCGTCAGGCGAATGCAGATTTTGACATTCGTGCTCAGTCACTCTTCATTGAAGAAGCTCAACTTGTTGGGATTGACAAGCCAAAAGCAGATCTCATCTCAAAAATCCTTGCTGATCATTCCCAATTGAAAGTAGTTTCGGTTGTGGGAATGGGAGGGCTCGGGAAGACTACCCTAGTGAAAAAAGTCTATGATGACACTGCAGTGAAGAAACAATTTCAAAACCATGCCTGGATAACTGTTTCTCAAAATTTTCAGTTCAATATCATCATCAAGGACCTGATCCAACAATTGTACAACGAAATCAAACAACCAATCCCACCCCAAGTGGAATCCATGAATGTTATTATGCTGAGTGAATTTGTCAAAGACTTCCTCCGAGAAAGAAGGTACATCCTTGTCCTTGATGATATGTGGAGTATAGATGCTTGGGAAGCTATCAAATGTGTATTGCCTGACTGCAATACTGCTAGTAGTGTTGTATTGACAACACGAATAGCTGATGTGGCTTCTGCATCTTGTTTAGGATCACTTGACTTCGTCTATAAGATGAAGCCTCTTTCTGATAAAGAGTCTTGGACTCTTTTTTGCAATAGAACATTTCAGAGCAATGACTGTCCTCCAAATCTAGAAGAAGTTTCTAAAAAAATAATGAAAAAATGTGAGGGCTTACCTCTTGCAATTGTTGCAATGGGTGGTCTTTTGGCTTTGAAGGATAAGGGAAAGACAGATGAATGGGAGATAATTCTTCGTGGCTTTGGTAGCGAAGCAGATGGTAGTGGTAAGTTTGACAAAATTAGAAAGGTACTCTTCCTTAGCTACAATGATTTGCCTCACAATCTCAAAAGCTGCCTATTATATCTAAGCATCTATCCTGAAAATTATTCAATTATTGTGGATGATATACTTGTGAAATGGATAGCACTAGGATTTGTAGAAGGGAAAGAAGGAATGACATCCACTGATATCGCTATGAAATATCTGAAAGGACTTATCAATAGAAGCTTAATCCAAGCTCAACAGATACGGGAAGATGGCAAATTGCAGAGATGTGGTGTTCACGATTTTCTGCGTGAAGTCATTATCTCAAAATCTAAAAGAACAAAGCTTCACAACCATAGCCACTGGATATTACACAGGATGGCCTGACAAAGTTCGACACCTAGCAATCCACAAATTCACTGATAATCCACAAGACTTTGGCAGCTTGAAGTGTCTTCGGTTTGTGGAAATATTTGGGTATGAAGATCCTCTCACAACTTCATTTTTATCCAAGTTTTTACGTGGTGGCCCTATGCTGCTAAAGGTGTTGGATTTAGATGGAGCTGAATTGGACAACATCCCAAAGGAAGTCTTCAAACTATTTCAACTCAAGTGTCTTGGTCTTTGTAGAACCAAAATTAAAATTATTCCAAAGTCTATTAGGAAGCTTAAAAACCTTGAAGTTTTAGCTCTGATGGAAACCAGCATAAAAGAGTTGCCTGTGGAGATTGTAAAGCTAAGAAAACTACGTTCGCTTTCCTTAGGTGGAAGTGGTGATTATTCAAATAACTTTGCAGCCTGGGGTGGTAAATCTCCAGATGGAATTGGAAAGCTTCTTTCCTTGGAGGATTTGAATACCATAGAAGCAGACAGTGATAAAACAGTAAGGGAGATTGGCAAGCTCATGCAGCTACGGCGATTATCCATCACAAAGTTGAGGGGAAAAGATGGAAAGGAGTTGCTCTCCTCCCTTCTGAGGCTGACCAACCTTCAAGAATTGTGCATCTCTTGCTTTAAAGAAGATGAGACCCTTGATTTCCAACATTCTATCTCTCCGAAACTTGAATTCCTTACATTACTATGGTTGAATGGGCGTTTGGAGAGAGTACCACAATGGATGATATCACTTCAATCCTTGAGCATCTTACGCTTGTACAATAGTGGGTTCAGAGAAGATGAGAATGCAATAGGCTCCCTTGGATGTTTGCCTAGTCTAGTAATACTTGGTCTCATTTTTGCTTATGATGGGGAGGCACTGTGTTTCAAGAATGGAGGATTCCGAAAACTCCAGACTTTAGAGCTTATGCAATTCAAAAGATTAAAATGGATGAGAGTGGAAGAGGAATCAATGCCTAGTCTCAAAAAATTGAACTTAGTTGGTTGTAAGCTGATGCAGGAGTTGCCTTCAGGCATCCAAAACTTGACCACACTTCAATGTCTTGGATTTTATGATATGTCTGATGAGCTAATGCACAGAGTACAGAATTTGGATAAACAAAGTGAAGATTATCAGACAATTGCTCATATCCCTGAAGTTTGCACTGGTTACTGGATTGATGGTCGATGGGAAAAAAAGTTCCTCTAAGAGAAGAGAAACTAGAAACCAACTCTTGCACTTTTCAACATTCATTGATATCCAATTCAGTCATCTCTTCTATCGGCCTTAGGTAGCATACTAGCTTTTCCTACTATTTCATTGAGTTCTCGTTTACCTTTTTCCTTCTACAACTTGTTATATTTGTATCAAATCATATCATGAAATTTCAATAATCAACCTCAATTCCGCAAAATATGTACATGTACATTTACGGATTTATATTTTCTTTTCAAAGTTACCTCCATCAAACATGTTCTGGTTATGGTGCTTGTGTAAATTGAACTTGAAATGTGTAAATTCTATTTCATCATGATATGAGACATTTATCTAATTTTATCCCAAACAATGTGTTTGAGAACAAGTCATTAAATGCTGGGATGTTTTCCAATTTTTTTTTTTCAATAGCAATGAACACAGTTTAGAACCTATTTCAATTCATGCGATTCAGATACCACAGGCCATCTAAACTGATGGAAGAGTTGCCTTTGGATTCTATGATATGTCTATTGAGCTAACGCACAATGTACAGGATTTAGATAGATAAAATGAAGATAAACACAATTTCTCAGCATACCCTTGAAGACAAACACAAGGTACAGGATTAGGGTAATGGTGGCAACTGATCCCAAACCTCAATGGACCGACACGAAATCTAGGCAGGATGGGTTCAATATATGTATGGAATTGAGTGTAGATGGGACAAAACCCAACAATACCCAATAAGAGATGAGAATACACACATAGGTATTACATGGAAGTTCCATGGACCCATCTTTTGAGTTTTTTGTTAATAAATAATTTTATTTCTGAAAATTTTTTTCTTGAATAAACATATATTTGAATTATATGTTCAATGTACGTGAGTTTCCATGGTACAACTTTATTTACGAGGCAAGATGTTGGGCTATCAAACCAGCAAAAATAAAATTCCTACTCTAAAAAGTGATTCGCTCACATTAGATGGAGCAACAATTCTTCTTTCTAATAAGTGGTTCATCATAAGAACAATCAGAATGGGAGAAGCCCCCAAAACATTGCATTAAAAGTTCAATAAAGAATAGCAAACTAAGATCAAAACTATGATGAACTTCCATGCATATTTGTACAGGTACAGAAAAATATAGATATGGATACGTCTTAGCCTTTCAACTTCTTTAAGAATGTTATTTTTAATCCTCGTCTTCAAATTGATTTACTTTACTCCCTTGGCAGACTAGACAAGAGTAGCTAATTGAAATAAGATTACAAAATTAAGCATAACAAATCAAAATATGGCATGGAGAGAGACCAAAGTTAAGAAACAGAAATCAGAAGCAGTTTTCAGAATTACAAATTGCTAAGTAATCATGAGGTAATGAATGCGATACGTATCAAGCGAGCAACTTTGCCAAAACTGGCTGCCTTGAGTGTCAGAAGATACCTACATGGCCGCTTGAGTGTCTCCTGTCCACATTAACAACTGGAGGGCTAGACTAGCAGTCCTCAAAATGGTGGAAGATAAAGACCTTCAAATCATAATTACCAATGTCAATATTTGATTCATGAATTTGCCTGGCTGACTCCATGGTAGACTCTGATGATCGATACACCTTAATAGTCTGCAATGTAGGAATTTCTCCTATCTCATATGGGATTTCCTTCAACTCTAAGCAGCCATTTAAGACTAATTTCTGAAGATTAGGGAAGTGACTACTTGAGGAAATCCATTCCCGAAGATCCGTATGTGACAGTTTCAAGAACTTCAGGCAAGGAAACCCGTGATCACTTGTTTCCCATTGAGGTCCATTGAAGAAATTATCTTTGATTTTGAGAACCTCAAGGCTTGGTAGCAATTCCAAGATTGACAGTTCATTCCAGTTTACATGGCTACCGATCAGAGTAAGCTTTTTAAGACTTGGTGGGAACATATGTGGATGAGGAAAGCTCCAAGCAACCATACCAAGGGTTTGATATTTGAATTTCAGTGCTTCAAGATGATTTAAATGTGAAAGATCAGGAAATGAAAAATTATCATTGCCCTTTGAGAAAGTCATATGAAGTCCCAACTTTCTAAGATTTGGAGTCCTTTCCAAAACTCTGTTGATAAAACCTGCAGGACATAGTTGCGAAAGCGATTGCAAATTTTCAAGGATACCATCTTGTCTCCAAGGCAAACTGGCAGCAATTTCCATCAGACTATTCCTAGAACTTGAAGGACGATCACGATCTTCCATTATCCCCATACCAGTGATCAAATGTTGCTGGGACAGTTTTGTTTGAAAGCATTGTAGACGTATAGCCGACCGTCCCCCAGTGGAACACTTCCTTGGGTCTTTCAAATGTAGTTCCCCTGAAACTTTTAGATGCCTCAGCTTTTCCATCTTAAAAATAGCGCAGGGTAAGATAACTTTCCCCCCTCTTTCTCCATCAAGAATGCAGGTTTCTAGGTTCCAAAGTTTGAACAGTGTTGAAGGTAGGGCCTCGAGCCTCCTAAGATGAAGTGCCAAGTCCCTCAAGTGAAGCAGGTCATTCAATATTCGGTCAGGGAAGTGGTCGAGTATAATGTGCCTTAAATCCAAGGTGTTGAGATATCTGTATACTGCCAAAGTATCCCGATTGAACACTGCATCTTCTGAGACATAATGAGATTTGTATGTATGGAAGTATTGACAATGTGAAAAATGAGGAAAATGTCCCTGATACATAAGAAAGCGTTCATAGTCACTAAAGGGAGCAGCATTCAGTCCACACTCACATTTTGGCAGCACAAATTTCTTTTCGTTAGTTTTTTTAAGGCACAATTCCCTCAACACGTCATGCATATTACATGATTTTATTCCACCATCAGACCTTTTCTTTGCTACTGTAACAAGACTTCTATTAACAAGATCCATTAGGTAATCCTCTGCTACATCCTCTAGTCTCTTTCCTTCAGTTTCCTGAATAAAGCCCTCTGCAATCCATGATTGGAATAGCCTCGTCACAAAGATATCAGAAATTTCAGGAAGTGATCCTAGATACAGAAAGCAGGATTTCAGCTCAGATGGCAGGTGCTTGTAACTCAATTCTAATGTATCCATGAATTCCTTCGAGCTACTACTGATGATGGACCCCATATTTTCATGAACCTTCCTCCAATATTTTTCATTGTTCTTCTCCCTGACAAGAATTCCTGCTATAACAACAATTGCAAGAGGTAGACCATTACATTTTGCAACTATTCGATTCGCTATTTCCACCAATTCCTCGGGGCAGCTGCTGTCACCAAATAGTTTACAGTTAAATAGATCCCAACTTTCTTTTTCATTCCGTGCACGTAGACAGTGGATGAAACTATTTTCTTTTACTCTCACAGCCTTCTTAATTCTACTGGTCATTAAGATCCTACTAAAATTTTTATCCTCTGGAAAATATATCTTCAATTCATTCCAGACCTTAATGTCCCACACATCATCAATCACAATCAGATATCTATGCCCCTTTAAGCATTTATACAACTTCTGTCCCATATCTTCATCACTCATACGGAAAATTGGATCTTTACGACTCAGAATACAGCGTAAAATTCTACACAGTAAGTTTCTCATTTGAAATACTTGAGACGCACTAACCCATGCACGAGTATGAAAGTGGTATACAACTGACAAATCATTATACAATCTTCTAGCCAAAGTTGTCTTACCGATTCCTGGCATCCCAACAATGGAAATAACTTGACGTCGCTGTGGCCCGCGGGTCAGCTTGTCTTGCAGTTCTCTTGCCTCATCCTCAAATCCAATCACGATCTCACTGTCTATAATGGAATTTCCATCTATTCCGGACAAGTTTTCCTCCTCTTGTGAGTTCGTCAATCCAAGAAAGGTATCATCCCTGTGGCCGTGTACTTCAACAGATCTTATTCTTTCTACTAGATTACGAACAATATGCACCGGTAAGAACAAAGGAATGCAAAGATGAAAAGACGCATCTCTGATCATACCATCAACTTTAAGCAAGACCTTATCAATAGCTGGAACAATATCCATGGCTAAATCACGATCCTCTGGCGGTGGAAACAAAAATGGTGCATGGCCATCAGTGGAAGCTTCTTGCACTGATCTGAGGTAGCGTCCTATCAATTTGATATCTTCACCAAAAGAAACGTTGGTCTCGTTAGAAATGGATCCTCGGTCACAAAGCAGCTCCAGGTCCTCCAGGATGAACTGGACAGCCTTACAAGCCTTAGCAACACTGTCGAAACTGAAGTACAGCTTTTGAAAACTTAAGATCAGAGGCACCTCCCTATCCATTTGGTATCTTCACCGAAAGAAACGATGGTCTCGTTAGAAATGGATCCTTGGTCACAAAGCAGCTCCAGGTCCTCCAGGATGAACTGGACAGCCTTGCAAGCCTTGGCAGTTAGCAACACTTTCGAGACTGAAAGTGCGGCGCTTCAAGACTATAGATTCTGTTCCCGTCCCTTGAATTTCTTCTTTTTGTTTCCATTGACATGGGCTTGACTAAAAGAGTCGAGAAAAACTCAATATCAATTCTCTAACGCTTTGCAAGGAACTTAATTATGGAAATATCCATATCCATAATCCAACATTTTCCCGAGTCAGCCAAGGGGATGGGGCCTATATACTTTGCGCAGGGATTCCTGGAAATTGCGCCAAGTCAAAAATCAACTTCTGATACAATAACAAAAATAAAATAAAGATTCTAATAAGCAATCCATGTAGCGGTATAAAACTTCAGGAGCTAAGTCCATGCTCCTAAAAACAAAATTAACCTAAAATTTTCTGGATGCCTATGTCCAAAACTATTACGTTTGGTAGCGTACTCAAAAAATAAATATTGGGCGCCCACAAATGAAAGGGATAATTCCAGAAACCTCCCCTAATGTTTTTGATAGTTTCACTTGGCATCCTCAAACTTTGATAAATCTGAGTTGCCTCCCTTACTTTAAATTTTTTTGCATAATTTACAACCCATTTTAAACTATAATATTAAAAAATTCATTTTGAGAA